GCTACCGTTAATCACACAGACTAACGGGACCAACGGATGCTGAAGGAGTAGATGGATCCAATGGGACAGAAGTCTCAGCCACCGTTAATCACACAGACTAACGGGACCAACGGATGCTGAAGGAGTAGATGGATCCAATGGTACAGAAGTCTCAGCCACCGTTAATCACACAGACTAACGGGACCAACGGATGCTGAAGGAGTAGATGGATCCAATGGTACAGAAGTCTCAGCCACCGTTAATCACACAGACTAACGGGACCAACGGATGCTGAAGGAGTAGATGAATCCAATGGTACAGAAGTCTCAGCCACCGTTAATCACACAGACTAACGGGACCAACGGATGCTGAAGGAGTAGATGGATCCAATGGGACAGAAGTCTCAGCCACCGTTAATCACACAGACTAACGGTACCAACGGATGCTGAAGGAGTAGATGAATCCAATGGTACAGAAGTCTCAGCTACCGTTAATCACACAGACTAACGGGACCAACGGATGCTGAAGGAGTAGATGGATCCAATGGGACAGAAGTCTCAGCCACCGTTAATCACACAGACTAACGGGACCAACGGATGCTGAAGGAGTAGATGGATCCAATGGTACAGAAGTCTCAGCCACCGTTAATCACACAGACTAACGGGACCAACGGATGCTGAAGGAGTAGATGGATCCAATGGTACAGAAGTCTCAGCCACCGTTAATCACACAGACTAACGGGACCAACGGATGCTGAAGGAGTAGATGGATCCAATGGTACAGAAGTCTCAGCTACCATTAATCACACAGACTAACGGGACCAACGGATGCTGAAGGAGTAGATGGATCCAATGGGACAGAAGTCTCAGCTTAATCACACAGACTAACGGGACCAACGGATGCTGAAGGAGTAGATGAATCCAATGGTACAGAAGTCTCAGCCACCGTTAATCACACAGACTAACGGGACCAACGGATGCTGAAGGAGTAGATGGATCCAATGGGACAGAAGTCTCAGCTTAATCACACAGACTAACGGGACCAACGGATGCTGAAGGAGTAGATGAATCCAATGGTACAGAAGTCTCAGCCACCGTTAATCACACAGACTAACGGTACCAACGGATGCTGAAGGAGTAGATTAATCCAATGGTACAGAAGTCTCAGCTACCGTTAATCACACAGACTAACGGGACCAACGGATGCTGAAGGAGTAGATGGATCCAATGGTACAGAAGTCTCAGCCACCGTTAATCACACAGACTAACGGGACCAACGGATGCTGAAGGAGTAGATGGATCCAATGGGACAGAAGTCTCAGCCACCGTTAATCACACAGACTAACGGGACCAACGGATGCTGAAGGAGTAGATGGATCCAATGGTACAGAAGTCTCAGCTACCGTTAATCACACAGACTAACGGGACCAACGGATGCTGAAGGAGTAGATGGATCCAATGGGACAGAAGTCTCAGCTACCGTTAATCACACAGACTAACGGGACCAACGGATGCTGAAGGAGTAGATGGATCCAATGGTACAGAAGTCTCAGCTACCGTTAATCACACAGACTAACGGTACCAACGGATGCTGAAGGAGTAGATGGATCCAATGGTACAGAAGTCTCAGCCACCGTTAATCACACAGACTAACGGGACCAACGGATGCTGAAGGAGTAGATGGATCCAATGGTACAGAAGTCTCAGCCACCGTTAATCACACAGACTAACGGGACAAACGGATGCTGAAGGAGTAGATGAATCCAATGGGACAGAAGTCTCAGCTACCGTTAATCACACAGACTAACGGGACCAACGGATGCTGAAGGAGTAGATGAATCCAATGGGACAGAAGTCTCAGCCACCGTTAATCACACAGACTAACGGTACCAACGGATGCTGAAGGAGTAGATGAATCCAATGGTACAGAAGTCTCAGCCACCGTTAATCACACAGACTAACGGGACCAACGGATGCTGAAGGAGTAGATGGATCCAATGGTACAGAAGTCTCAGCCACCGTTAATCACACAGACTAACGGGACCAACGGATGCTGAAGGAGTAGATGGATCCAATGGGACAGAAGTCCTCAGCTTAATCACACAGACTAACGGGACCACGGATGCTGAAGGAGTAGATGGATCCAATGGGACAGAAGTCTCAGCCACCGTTAATCACACAGACTAACGGGACCAACGGATGCTGAAGGAGTAGATGGATCCAATGGTACAGAAGTCTCAGCTACCGTTAATCACACAGACTAACGGGACCAACGGATGCTGAAGGAGTAGATGGATCCAATGGTACAGAAGTCTCAGCAA